TTTTTTTTTTTTTTTTTTTTTTTTTTAAATTTATCTATACTGAAAGGTTACGCGAGAATATTAATAAACGTCCCAGATTACTTTATTTTGGAGGCAGAACTTGTTTTCAACTTACATTAATAGCAATGAAGTCGCGCGTTGATTTGTGATTTAGCCTGATTGATATGACTAAATATCCTAAATATGCGCGCAGGTCAGAACATCTTATAGACAATTGCCCCAGTTTAACCCATACAGTTAGAATAAATGAATGTATCTTGTTCGACAAATTGTTCATAATTTAAATAAAACTTTATTTATCTCTGAAAACTACATTCCAATTTAGGGGTGTTTTGGAAAAAAAAAAATCAAAGTTTCTTTATTTTATAGGTAAGTCCCAGTGTGTAGTCAGTAGGAAAACCCTGGTGAACACTCAGTATGTAGAAAATAATGCGTCTTTTATTCCCACTTGTACCTCACGTGAGGTTAGGAAACTAAACTTCTTTTTTAGTCTTATACTTCGGAGAACCAAGAGGGGCGGTGCTGCTGCTTCTCCTCCTCCCAATTTTCAGCTCCCACAACCGGGAAGGCTGGCTCGGGGCGTGCGCTCTTGCTGGCAGCTCCCAAAAATACGCAGAGGGGCGGGGGGCTGAAGGGGTGAGAACACCAGACAGGAAGACTGATTCAGATCGATGAGACCGAAGTAAAGAACCACCATCGCACTTTGTGGCTTAAAACTGTTATTTTTCGTTCAGTCTTTAAGCCCCATTACGCACACTGATCCCCTCTCTCTCTGACACCGAAAAGATGCCCAAGTGTTCACCCTGTGCGTCCCCCTGGTCCTCCCTGTGGCTGACATCTTTTGTTATTTTGGTGGTGCAGTCGGTAATCTCTTCCTCGTACTCTTCCTCCTCCACGTATCAGAGAAACGCAGCTGGCGGGAAGCGACCAGGATTCTTGGGGAGGACGCTGGTTCTCCTGGATGTCAACACCCGCAGTCCGATCAGAGTCCTCAACGACAACTTCTTATCGCTGCAGCTGGATCCCGCGATCATCAGAGACGGCTGGCTGGACTTTCTGAGGTAGAACGTTCTCCATCAGTTACTAACCTGTATGACCGACTGCCTCTGAAATGTAGAACCGTGATAAGTCCACTTCTCAAATACTTGGTGTTTTTTTTGTTGTATTTTCGTATTTTTTTACGAAGGCAGCCACGTTGTCTCAACTGTCATGGAGTGATCAGGCACGTTTTCTCTTTTTTATAAAAAGTGGATTCAAACCTATATTAGACAATAGAGCCGCTGAGCGGACGACTAGCTTATGGGCCTACTTACAATTAAAACTTGTGTTCTCATTTCTACACAGCACTTACGGTAATTTTGTGCTACTAAGTATATATGGAAAATTGTCCCTATATACTACAGTAGCATCATAATTATGTATCTCTTGCTGTAAAAAACTAAAAAAATTCATATTCATATGAACTTATATATATATATATATATATATATATATATATATATAT